TTTTTCTCACATGATATTCAATTTGCAAAGCTCATCCGGCGCCTGTCATCTATTCTTTCATTAAATAGATTAGCATGTTATGTATGGCGGGCCCCACCAATTTATACCCTATCTTCATGGTATTTATCTCAGACTTGTTTATCTTTTGCTGTTTCTTTAGTTTGTTGTAAATAGCCTGAGCCCCTGTGCCTACTTAGCCCATCAGAAGTTGAGTGTATCCAATTCAATGGTCATATTACAAATGAGAGAGATTACTGGAAGCAGTAGAATTAAGACTTTCATCTGAATGCTCTTTGGATTCTTTTTTCTTCTTTATGATTGTTGTTTTCACTGATTATAAGACATGATACCATTCTCTATTTTTTAAAAAGTTTAAGCACATCAATAGTGTATCAGCTGCAAAGTGACTGCGTCTTCAATAACCCCTGCTTTCTGAGACCATTATATACAAAATATTCTTTATATGTATAAATATAAACATAGCTATAAATTTAAATATACCATCTAAGGGTGAATAATATTAAATGTATAGGTCTATAATTTTCTTTTCATTTAACAATATGTTATAGATGTCTTTTCATACCAATGAACATACAGTTACATACTATTTTTGAATAACCACTGGGTCTTAATTGCATTAAGGGGTATATCATAACTAATTTAAATAATTTCCTATTAATGGGCATGTATCTCATTCCTTATTTTGTACTCGCATTAATAACACTTACATGAACAAACTTAGAAATATATCTTTGAATCTTTCTTTCTCCTAAATAAATTTCTAGAAAATGAAAATTAATTCATCAAAAGACATAAACATTTTAAAATTTGAAATGTCTTCACCATGTACCTTGAGACAAGAAGATCCAACACTCCCACATCCTCACAAACACTGCGTATGATCAATATTTTTAATCTTTGACTATCTGAGAGATAATGTTGAATACAACATTATATCTCTTAGGTTGTGAGTGAAATGGAATATTTTCAGGTGACTACTATAATAATATTGTCATGAAATCTAACTTGTTAAAGTAAAAATTCTTTACATTACTTTATAGATTGAAATTCCTCCTTACGTTGATTGACTTCTGTCCATCTATCACAATATTAAGAAATCATTCTCATTTTATAAATGAAGAAGCTGAGTCCAAAAGAAAGTTAGCATATGGCTAGAAGAGAGTAAATAGTTGATAAACATCCTGCTAATTCTTTAAAAAAAAAAAAAAGAAAGAAAAGAAAAGAAATAAAGAAATAAAGAGAAAAATGGAGCATACTCTGAACTCCAGACAGGAAGTAGAAAGCAGAAATAAACTCACTTTTATCCTCATTCTCGACCAAACCAGATAGAGTCTGATTGTAATTGCATATACAACAAAAACAACAAAAATATTTGAACTACTAAAGAATTTGAGTTTATGTCCCTAAGCTCCAATATGTAGGCTCCTTGTCTGTAGCAATAACATCTCAAACGCCAGTCATAACCATAGCCTATATTTTGTTTTTCCTTAGGGTGTGTGGTATAAAAATTGGGATTACATATGGTGTTTAGTAAAAAAAGAAAGAAGTGACTTAACCCCAACCAAAAAAATTAGCTATTCTAGAGGCAATCTAATGTTGACCACGGGCTCCAGCAATGCATTGGATAAACTGAATGGAGTCTCTTCGCCTTTAGTTTTCCTCCATAATGTCAAGTAACAGGAAGTACCTGGAAAAGCACATGCAGGAAGCAGTGTACTTCAGAAAGAGAGAAAGTGTGTGGGTGTGTGTGGGTGTGCAAGAGTTCGCGTGTGTTAAAACGTCCATGTTACATTGATCTTTCTTATTACAGTTTGGCATTCAGAACATTTAAACAACATCTGCTAATAACCTTGTCTAAAGTGTCTCCTTCCCCATTCCAGCCCCCACCTCCCAATGCACAGGCTTTGTCTTTCCACCAGCCTTTATTTGGTTGGTCAGGAGCCTGTTGAGGCCTCCCAATCACCACCTGTGTGCAAAACCTGCCTTCCTCAAGATGGGCTCCTCCGCCATGGCGCACAGGTGTGTCCTGAAGAAATGCTGGTACGCTCGTTCTTCACTTGGGCAGAAAGAAAACAAAAAGGCAGGAGATTGAGTTATACACAGCCACAAGCAGATGAGGAAGATATCTCAGGAGAAGCCATGTAAGCCTCAACCAGATTTAGATAAATGCTGCCGGATGGTCATCGTGATGCAATTGGGACCAAAATAAACGACTACAGAGACGCAGCAATCTGACTTTCATGTGACAGCACCAATTAATTTTAGTTGCTGTGGCAATGAAAATGCTATGATAAATAGGATTAAATTACTGGCAGGAAAGAATAGAATTGGTGCGCATCATAAACACCTATCATGTGACATGTAGCATTTATGTGAAGACTTTCCATATTTTTCCTAAAAGGTTGCACTTTGTCTCCAAGACAAAAAGTACATGAATCTACCAACTGAAGTCTTTCTGACATCCTATCTCACTCCTCACCAGTTTGCTGACTGTTCCTCATGGCTCAGCTCAGCTATCTTTCAATATGAAAATATATCCTTAATCCTGGGGTGTGTGTTCTCTCTCTCTCTTTCTCTCTCTCTTGCACACACACACACACACACACACACACACACACACACTATAGTGTGTGATAATAAGTATGAAGATGCTGTGCTCTTGGGAAGGCCCTATGCAAGCCCTAGGATCACCCTGCCCTGTTAATATCATACATGAATCCAAGGGTACTAACTATAGTATTTACTGTACCTGTTGTGTTGAAGGAAGGCAAATTAAAATCCTGAAAGAAAAAAAAAGATATTTTCATGAGTGGACAGGAGACTGCTTGCTTGCATTGTGTAGTTCTGTATTCTTGTATTTATTTATTTCTGGGGGCTGGCTCCTGTGTTGCAATCAGCTTTCTATAGCCTTAGGCAATTGAAATACCAGTCCTTAGTTCCAGAGTATTACTCATTCTGTGGGTTAAGTTTTCTCAGGCATTGGCATGCCAGGACATCAAAGGACCACAGGGTAGAAGGCAGAGCAATTAATTTTTCATGTCTATAAGAAGAAAAATTATCTTAAGCAAACAGCATCGGCCAACATGAATACCGAATCATGATATTTTAAAGAGAGATCCTTGTAAAGGGAAACTCGTGCTTGTTGTTGTTGTTGTTGTTGTTGTTTCTGGGTTTTTAATTCCTAAATGTGGAAATGGTGATCCCAAAAGTGACATTAACCTGTTTCTGACAGAAATCTTCTCTTGCTCTCAGAATGTTTTCAGGCTATTTCAAGCAGGTCAGCAGAGCTGAAGGAACCTCAGCTTGGGGGTAAGAAAATGAGGAACATAGTCACACAGGCTACACTAATGTTGAATGGCTTGGGCATGGTCCTCCCCAGGCCTGGGAGTGAATTGAATTGTGGCAAGCCATAGACCCAAAGGGAGTCCAGGGTTGGGAATGCGCAACACTACAGCACTGAGGTTAGAAGCACAGGCATTCAGACCCCTTGGTCTCAAATCCCACCCAGCTCATCTTACAAATACCATATTTTGGTTCATGGTTTCAGAGGTTGCAGTCCACAGTCTCTTGGCCTTGTTGCTTTGGATCTATGGGAGCACAGTTCACATCATGGCAGGGATGTGTGGCACAGGTCTTCCACCTCATGATGGCTGGGAAATAAAGACAGGAGATGAAGGAGTGGAGTCCTAATACCCCCTTCAAGATCGTGTCCTCATAGATTCTGCCTTCTAAAGGTTTTGCCACCTCTCAATAGTGTCATAAGCTGGTGGCCAACACTTCAGTATGTGGGTCTTTGGGAAACACTTCTGAACTATAGCAGCAAGCCACTTAACCACTCTAAGTTACTAGGTCTTCACTTGTAAAAGGAGCACAGCAGTAAAACCTTCCTCATGAGTTTGTTGCTATAACAGAATGGGGAATGCTTAGGATGCTATTAGCCACACACACTTGTAGCATTTGATAGGCTGCAAAACTGACATTTCTATCCAGTGTTATCCTCTTGGAGGATACAAATGACTTGCTCAAGGTCTCCCAGTTAGTTATTCAGGACTAGAACTCAAGCCCACCTCCTCCATCACCATTAGTAGGTGGCACTTCCATTACCTAGCAGCTCTCCCATCACCAGGACCAACTGGTTTAGAAAAACAAGTCAGTTTCCCATGCAGCCCAGCCCCACCCAGTTCTACTCATCCCACCTTCGCCCTCACCCTACCTTGCCCTGCCCTGCCCTCCCTAGCCAACCTGGGTAAATCACAGCAAGAGACTCTAGATCAGTCAGGCCCAAGTACCAGTCTAACTGGAAGGTGAGGCCAAGGTCCAAAACCAAAATCTTGACGCACAAAACCAGGTTGATGATTGTTACTATTGTAAGAAAAGGGAAGGGGCTCCCAATCTGAGAGGAAGGAAAGTGGAGGCAAATTATGGGAGCCCCAATCAGTTTTTGCCAAGTAAGTAAGTGAGAGGATTGTCAGGATCCTGTAAATAGTAGTAAGCCAAAGAAACAAGCTAACCTACACACAAGGGTGGAATGGAAAAGTAAAGGGCTCAGGCTACCAGCCCCAGGGTTCTTGAGAAATGGGAGCAGTGTTAGAAAAGTGAAAAGTGGCACAGGGGACCTGGAGGAGCCCCAGTCTGGGCAGGGAAGGGACTCCAGCATGTCACACTTGCACCAGTTCTGTCCCTGTCAGACTCACACAGCACTTTGTGCTCAAGGCTGTCTGTAAGAGAAGAGAGAGAAGGTCCCTGGGCAACAGGCCAGTGGCCAGCCTCAAGGCCATGGGAGAAGCAGAAAAGATTTCAAGGTGTTCATCCTGCAAGGAGGAGTCTTGATGGGAGATGGCGGCTTTCCCTGAATGCATGAGATTTTCCCAGGTGGAATCACTCTTTGTGGCTCTGAAGGGCAAGGCTAGGCTTGGTATACAGAACATAGAGGCAGGCAAACCTTAGCACCCACAGTTATGGACTCCAGTAGGAGAGCTGAGCTCTGCTGGTGGTTGAGGAGAGGGTGGGAGGGTGCCAGCGGGATTTTTGCTCAAGACAAGGCAGTTAAGGGAGTTGACCTCTGACTCTTGAAGACCCCTTTGGTTCCTGCAGGGAAAATGGGGCAAGTCAGTGGGCAGGCTCAGGTTACTTTTATTCAGAATGAGTCCCAATTTATGTGTCTTCCCTCCTCCCACCACTCAGGGTTTTCCTAAATAAGTAAATGGGACATAATTATTTTCTACACTTAAGTCCAGTAACATTTAGAAGCTGATTATCAACTCTCTGAAATGCTGTATTAAAAATTCTCTCTCTCTCTCTCTCTCTCTCTCTCTCTCTCATTGGAAGCAGGGGAAAATCGGAGGTGAGAAACACATTTTTTTAAAAGGTCAAAATTGAAAGATTCAACTATACTTTAGAACTTTCTGTATGGTCAAATCAACATAAAAAAAACAAAACTAAACTAAAAGGCAACCATACTAGAAAACAATAATATTTGAAATGTACGAGGCTAAAATATAGTGTCTTAATATACAAGTAGTTCATATAAATCAAAACAGAGACAATACTACTTCCACTTCTATTGTTAAATATTCAAATAGATTAGGGTCACCTTTTTAATTGTGTGGACCCACACAGTGGGGTTTTGTGCACAAGCATGTTCCCTTCAATGCAGAAAGTCATTCTGACCTCTCTTTAGACAGAAATGATTGGCAGTCAACTTCAGTCCTAACTCTATTATTCATCTTTGGTGGGCTCAGTGACAGACTCTTCCGGTTTTTCAAGTTGAAGAACTAGAAAATTAGGTGGCACATTTTTTTTTTAAATTTTTGCAGAGACATCTTTTGCAAGAACTTCATAAGCATGCTGCATTTTATTTGCTAAAGACAAATATCTTTTTGAGAATGGTACAGACATATTTGATGAAATATACTAGGAAAAAAGCAGGTAAGAGTCACAGTTTGCTAGTTCCAGCTCTTCACAAGAGCTAAACTACAACAAATATCATTAAGTGTATGGTGTCAGGGCCCCTTAGGCTTCTAACAGGAAATTTGATCAAACAAAATTTGAAATGGCTAATTTCTATATTTATTGCAATATAGGTAGATTTTTTTAATTGCTAAAATTCCATTTTGTTTTTTTTTTTAATTTCTTTTTAGATATACTTGATGATAGAGTGTATTTTGACTTATTATACATACATGGAGTATAATTTGTCCTAATTAGGATCCCATTGTTGCAGTTGTACATGATGTGGAGTTTCACTGATTGTGTATTCCTATATGAACATAAGAGAGTTATGTCCAATTTGTTCTACTGGCATTTCTAGTTCTATTCCCCACTCTTCCCTTCAATCCTTTTTTTCCTAATCCACTAAACTTCTATTCTTCTCTATCCCCTCCCCTCGTATCGTGTGTTAGTCTCTGTATATCATAGAGAACATTCAGCCTTTGATTTTTTGGGATTGGATTATTTCACTTAGCATGAAAGTCTCCAGATCCACCCATTTACCAGCAAAAGCTATAATGTCATTTTGGCTGGGGGGTGGCATGGAAGGGTTATACTAAGGATTGAACTCAGGGGCATTCAACCACTGAGACACACCCCTAGCCCTTTTTTGTATTTTACTTAGAGACAGGGTCTCCCTGAGTTGCTTAGTGCCTTGCTGTTGCTGAGGATGGCTTTGAACTCACCAACCTCCTACTTCAGCCTCCCAAGCCACAGGGATTACAGGCATGTGCCACCATGCCCAGCTAAAGTCATTCTTCTTTACGGCTGAGTAATACTCCATTATGTTTATATACCACATTTTCTTTAACCATTCATCTATCAAAGGGCACCTAGGTTGGTTCCCTAGCTTAGCTATTGTGAACTACTATAAATCTTGATGTGGAGGCATCACTGTAATGTGCCAATTTTAAGTTCTTTGGGATAACTGGGTCAAATGGTGGTTCCACTCTAAGTTTTCTGAGGAACCTCCATACTGTTTTCCAGAGTGGTTATACCAATTTGCCCTTCCATTAGCAATGTGTGAGTGCACCTTTGTCCTCACATCCTTGACAGAATTTATTGTTACTTGTATTCTTGATAATTGCCACTCTGATTGGAGTGAGATGAAATCTCAGTGTAGTTTTGATTTGTATTTCTCTAAATGCTAGAGATGTGAACATTTTTTCATATATTTGTTGACCATTCCTATTTCTTCTTCTGTGAAGTGCCTGTTCAGTTTCTTTGTCCATTTATTATTTGGATTATTTGGGGAGTTTTGTGTTAAGTTACTAAAATTCCATTTTGATGCTTGTAGAGAAAAAGGTGTCAAAAAGCAGCGCATAGTTTAGAAAATTTCTAGGCACTAACTCAAAAGGAGTCCCTGATATCATAAAATTTTAATCTTATGTTTTTCTTGTTCCCCAATAGGGAAAAAACTCAGGGGTAATGGAGTAGAAAATCAGAAAGAAATATTTGTGAAGAAAAAGATACGAAGAATGGAAAATCTTCCCTGCAGGAGATATAACCACCATGACTGGTACAATGGTCAGAAGGGCAGGTCTGGATGGAGAAAGAAAGAGGTGGTAGAAAAGAGGGAAGGAAGGAAAAGGGTGAGGGATGAAAGAAGAAAAGAAATGGAAAGAGGAAGGAAGCTGGAAACAAAACCAAAACCTTCCTTCTTTTTTTTTTGTTATTTTTTTTTTATTTTAAAAAAGGGGAAAGCAAAAGGATGTGGATATAGCTCTGTGGAAGAGCTTACCCAGCATGTGCAAGGGCCTAGGTTCCATCCCCAGCATAAAAAAAAAAAAAGTGGGGGTGGGGAATAGAAGTTATAGAAGTTAGGGTTAGGAAAGTTGGAAGGAAAAGAAAAGGAAAAAGGGAAAAAAAATCAATGCAGGCAGCTAAAGGAGTCTTCCTCAAGGCCCTTCTGTGACCAATTAATTCCCTGGCTGCACATCTCCTCAAAGGCAGGACACAGACCCCCATTTCGTATGTTCTTCCTTCCCAGTCCTCCTTGGTTGTAGCATTCTGTCAGTTTGAATTAAATGGAAAGAATATTGGCATTCTCCTTGTTTTCTTCTTTTTTTAAAATTTTTTCAACTTTTTCCTGTCATGTTAATTGTAGAAAATTTAGGGAGATGAAAGCAACAAAGAGTGAAATAAAATCCACCTTTACCCACTTCTCACAGATAATTTGGTTAGGCCAAGGTAGAATCCTGCCTTTTCCCATCATTTTTACTTACAAAATGAGCATTGAAACCAGTGTGTGATAGCTGAATGTTGTACAACACTGCTTCCAATACATTTTTAAAAAGAAGGAGTAAAAGCCATTGACATTTTTTCTTTTTAGTTTATTTATTTATCCTTCTTTGTTATACATGACAGCAGAATGCATTTCAATTCATATTACACATAGAACACAAATTTTCATATCTCCGGTTGTACACAAAGTACAGTCACACCATTCACATCTTCATACATGTACTTAGGGTAATGATGTCCTTCTTATTCCACTGTCTTTCTTACCACCCCTAACCCAACCTTTCCTCTCCCTTCCCTTTGCTCTATCTAAAGTTCTTCCATCCTCCCATGCTCCCCCATCCAATCCCCATTATGGATCAGCATCCTCATACCAGAGAAAATATTCGGCATTTGGTTTTTTTGGCTTACTTCACCTAGCATAATATTCTCCAACTCCATCCATTTACCTGCAAATGCCATGATTTTATTCTCTTTTATTGATGAGTAGTATTCCATTGTGTTTATACAACATTTTTTTTTATCCATTTATCTACTGAAGGGCATCTAGTTTGGTTCCACAATTTAACTATTGTGAATTGTGCTGCTAAAAACATTTGATGTGGTTGTGTCACTGTAGTATGCTGTTTTTAAGTCATTTTGCTATAAACCAAGGAGTGAGATAAGTTGGGTCAAATGGTGGTTCCATTCCCAGGTTTCCAAGGAATCTCCATACTGCTTTCCAGATTGGTTGCACCAATTTGCAGTCCCACCAGCAATGTATGAGTGTGCCTTTTTCCCACATCCTCACCAATGCTTATTGTTGTTTGTATTCTTTTTTTAAAATTTAATATTATTTTTTATTAGCTACCAATGACATTACAATGATCTTGGCAATTCATACATTTGAATCATTGGGGTATAATTTCTCATTTTTCTAATTGTACAGATTGCAGAATCACACTGGTCATAGAGTCACCTATATACATACAGCAATCATAATGTCTGTATTCTTAATAGCTGCCATTCTAACTGGAGTGAGATGAAATCTTAGAGAAATGCAAATAAAAACTAATTGCTAGAGGTGTTGAACATTTTTTCATGTATTTGTTGATTGGCCTTTGACATCTTCTAGATTTTTCAATGATTTAACTTTTTCAACTCATTGCTTCTTTGAATATATAAATGAATAAAAATTCTGATTTATTTTTGTCCAGAGCTGGCACCAGGGATTAGTAACCAAAGAGAGAAAGAAGGAAAAAGGAAATTGGTGTAATTCAGAAACTGAGTGGAATATTTTGAATAAACAAAGACAATAATGTGAAAATTATTTTCAGTGGACATAAAAATAGCATACCATTTACATAAAATGAATGTACAATTGGGCAGGCAAACAACATTACTCTACAGTCTTGGGTAACAACTTTCATTTCAGTCATTATTAGGGACTGTACTGCATCCTAACACCTTTTTCCAAACCAGTTTAAGGGCATCAGAAGAACCTCCCCAAGAAGTGACATCTATGCTGAGCCCTGAGGATGTGTAGACAGATGTGAGTGGGCAGATGAGTGGACCTGGGGAAATGGTGGCAAAAAGAGCATCATAAGTGGATTGCCCCAAGTGCTCAAGATAGAGAAAGCTTGTCACTTTTCAGGACCTCAGAGGGTTTATCATGGGAAATGTGGAGTTGCAGGATGATGTATGAGATGATCCCAGAGATGAGGCCAAAGAGACAGACGAGGCCAAACAGAAATAGTTATAGAAGCCAATTCTTGGTGATTTATAACAAATGCTCTTTATGGGGAAGGTGTTCATCCGGGGACTTCCTCTTTGTGGCACTCTACCCTGGAGCCTACCATGGTCCTTTGTGGCTC